TGATAATAATAATAAAACTTTTTCATTTGTAATAATAATAATGGAAAACTTTTAAAACAACAGAATACTTTGAACATTAATACAAGGAAAATATTTTTGGTATGTATTTAAGAAACAGTGAGTGACCCGGTGAGCTTAAATCATATATGTATACGGGCTTTCCAGGTAAAAGTAAATGGTTCTATTGTGATTATCTCACACTCCAATGCAAATGCTTGATTTGTAATCTTTCCACAGCTGAGACTCCCTTCCTGGGCATTAATTAACAATACAAGATGACTCTCCATGTACACTAAATGTTGTAGTCAATTTAGTTGGCTTTTGGACACAGGAGGCATCCATTGATTCAGTCTTTATATCAATTCACTTGATAATACACAGCAAATGGAATGAGACCTTGAGGATTGATTTCTGATATCACATTCACTAGTGGCGAGGAGTCCTGTGGCACCTTATAGACTAACTGAAGTGTAGGAGCATAAGCTTTCGTGGGCAAAGACCTACTTCGTCAGATGCATCTGACAAAGTGGGTCTTTGCCCATGAAAGCTTATGCTCCTACACTTCAGTTAGTCTATAAGGTGCCACAGGACTCCTCGCCGCTTTTGCAGATTCAGACTAACACGACTACCCCTCTGATACTTGACATTCGCTAGTGTAAAACAGGAGAAACTCTGTTGTATTAAGGTCCATGAAAATTGACTTAAACATAACTAGCATGTCACAGGGTTCACTCATACTAGCAGCACCTCCTGCTGGCCAGCCTGGGAATTAGCACCTCCCTGCAGGGGTGTCTTGCCCTATCCTGTCTGACATTGTGGCCCCGCTCATTCTCACATCTGCCTTCTTCTCTTCATGGCTTGGCCTTCCAGACAGGTCATTAAAGTCCTCCCCTTCTGTGGGATTCAAAGTCCTTCCAGATGACTAGGTGGCTGGCATCTCCACTGCCCATGCCACTACCCAGGCCCGCTCTCTACACCAGGTTCCAGCCCAGGAACCCTGTAACAAGCAGCTCAGGACTCTTCATGGTCTGACCTCTTGTTGTTGATTTCATGGGCTTCTTCCTACTCCACTGACTTCACCCCTCTTTGGGCTGGCCAGGTTCCCAACTCCTTCCACTCAGGGAATAACTACAGTCTGCTTCCCTGCCTTCATGCAGCCTGCTGGGCTCAGAGTGTCTGGGCTTTAGACTGGCTTTGCCCAGCTGAGCCTGCTTCTTATCAGTGGTGCACGCTCTGGCTCTTCTTTCAGGGCACCTAGTGGCATTAATTGGCCTGCCTGGCCACTTGAATCCCTTTCAGTTTTGGTGAGGGTGAGGGGGAAAGCTCCATCATATGGTGCAAGATCAAAATCACATTTCACAAGTTTGGATGTGTTTTCATTCCTTCATCGTTGAGGTAATATTTGATCCCAGAATGAGGGAAGTATCATTTATAGGATAACATTTTATATAATTACACTGTCACCATCAGTGTCAAAGTGATTTCCTTTGACTGCAGTGGTGTTGGAGGTGTTATTTCATGCATATTATTTTATAATAGTAAGAGTGTATTAGGTACTAAGATACTATTTAACTATTAGTATTATTTTATACCATGTTCAGCTAACTTTATTATTTTCCTCCAGAAAAATATTAGCACCCCCATAAACATGATGTATAGCAAGGAACTGAAGCCTAGCCTCAACCGTCCTGTGGCAGGTCTTATGGGGCCCAGAGTGGCCCAGGGGATTACCTGGGCCTGGCATGGGGCAGCAGCAGGGGTTCGCCTGCTTCACTCACTGGGGCAGCTGAGGCTGGACCGATCTGGCAGCCTGCTTGGGTGCATTCCACCATTATGGTGTGTGTAGGGGGGCCACCCCTGTTGCCGCCCCTGTGGTAATCTCCCCCACTCTGCTCGCACTGCTCAGGGAAGGGGTGCGATAGGGGCAGGAGGAGTCGGAGTAGGGCTGAGGCTTGGGGAATGGGTATTGTTGGGAGTGGGGCATGGGCAGAGAAGGGGCAGGGCCTATGGTGGGAGTTTCCTCAGCCTTGTGACTGGAGCATTGTGGGGGTTACCCTGGGCCCCACATGCTTCCCTATAACTGGGAGTAGGTTTGGACATAAAGCCTTGATTCAGGAAAGCCACTAAGCACCTCTTTAACTTTAAACATGTGAGTAAACCCCTCTCTCTTTGGCAAATCATTTCATGGGTTTTACTTAAGTACACGCTTAAAGATAAGCATGTTCTCTAGTTCTTTGCTGAATCAGGGCCTACCTCAGGTGTCCAAGAGCCCTAGTTTATGCATAGAACTTCAGTGAATGAATAGTTCTTCCATAAATTCAATAAAGGCAATCTAATCATCATTTTTAAACACCTACCCACAGTGACACACAAAACTGGAAAGATAACCAATTCATGTATAGCAATTTCAACTTCCTATCTTAGGGACATTTTACAAAGGTATAATATTGCATATATTTATGAAAGTGCTGTATTGGAAGTAAATCTTTCAGACTTCGGGATGTTTAATCCTCTTTTCAATTAAGAGTCATTTAATGCTAACATCTGCTTTTGGAATTACTTAACAACTTTACCTAATTTTTTTTCTCATTCATAATTGAGTGGAACAGCCAAATTGATACAGTTTCTCTGAAAGCCATTTTTCTATTTTGGCTTTTGTTAGCAGGCACAAAAATTACATTTTTACAGCTTCTCTTATTAATTATGCTGTGCTTTAGCCATTCCTTTTTGTCATTTGTTTGGTGGACTCCATTCATTTTTGCCACTTTTTGTTGTACTTATCACAGTTTTAGAAAGTTCTGTGATCTGAATCATGTAGGCAGAATGGTAGTCCAGTATTGAACTCAATGAGGCATTACATATCTATGCACACATGGATCAGCTCGCCCATTCAAGAGGACAGCTCATCTGGATGAGAATGGTATGAGTAAGGACCCTGATTTCCTACTCATTTACGAATGTAAAAATCTGAGCCATTAAAAGTTTATTTAAATTAAATTAAAACAAAATCTTGTCATGCTTTGCACAATTGTTCAATCACAACTACAGTCCTCCACAACACACACATACAACTAACACTTTGAGAATGAGCCCAATGTATTACCTTAACTGTGAAAGTTCTTGCTTTTGTGTATTTAAAGTGACACCCTCAACATTATTGCAACAGGATGTCTTTGGTTACAGCCTGTCAGACAAACAAGGGTGCCATTGGCCCCAACAGACAAAATCAGTATAGTCCATTATTATCAGACCTACCAAAGACTTGATGGTATGGTACCATGTATTGAGCATTCTGGCCCTTATTCAACAAAGCACTTAAGCATGTACTTAACTTTAGGCATATTTAGTGGTCCCACTGAAGTCAATATCTGAGGGAACTATTTTTAATTAATAGATCTTTTAATCCACTGCAACATATGAAAAGTAGACCCTCATAAAAATACTAAGGAAATTGTCAATAAACATGCTTATTCCATATGATTTATGGAAAAGAATAATATTGCAATTATTCATTAACTTCATTACTGAAAAATGCAAACTAGGCCAGGCACAATCACCTGAATTTTCTGAAATCTTCTTTTGAGTTGAAAAATTGCAAAAAGCATCAATTTCTACTTTGGCATTTTATGCACTTAAAATATTCAAAGTATTTTTTCCTCAAAAACATAGTAAAAATTCATGCTTGTAGATTGAGAGATTTATTTAGGTTAAATTTTAGTAACAAATGCATTTGAATAATGTAGCTATTGGATTGTGATAGATTTGTGAATACATTTGTTTATGTTTGTAATACAAGCACACTCAGAGAGGGACACATAAGCAAAAATTATAATTTCAATAGCATATAATATAACACTGCATCTGAGAGACAGTTAACTATGAAGGGTAGATGTTGCCCCTGCAAAACATTCAATAATATGTGTGTGTGCACATTGGAATCAGTGACTTTAAGTAGGACAACCTTAAAAGGTATGCTACTTATCCTGTGGACAAGTACGACTTTACAGTTCTTTTAATAATCCCTTTATCCTGAGATTTCTCCTTTGACCCTGATTTCAAAAGCAAGAGGTCAGACTGGCCTACTAGCTCCAGACCTCTAATTTAAGTCCTGATATGTACTGTATGAACTGTAAATCCAGCTACGTACACTTTGTTGCACTTGGTGTTGAGTTAGCAAGCTGCTTGCTTTGTAATTGATTATGCCCATGAAATTGAATTAACATTTGGTGATAGACATGTTTTCAGAGAAATAGGAAAATGCCATTATGTGAAGTGTAACAACATTTTGATACAAAATGTAGCGTCATCCCTTGCACAAATGAAACAGGCAGGGAAACATGTGCCTTATCTCTTAAAGAAATTCCGAGGCTTAAAGTTAAGGCTTTTCTTATACAGAGATTTATTTTGTCTTTTGCAAAGCTTGTTTTAAATGCTATAATTTTTCCTTACCATGGAAAAGGCATTCGTTTTAAAGGTTTGGTGTGGGGTTTTTTTCACAGCTGCTATTTTAAGATTTCCCTGGTGTAACCTCAGAAAATGAAGAGTACATCTTTAAATCTTGTTTTGTTTGAATGAATGGGTAGATAATCCTGATCAGATGTTTCTTTAGAGAATAATGTTTAAAACGATTATAGAATTTAGCTGTCCTGTCTGATTCCTAGGTACAGTATTTTAATTTCAGTTGTTAAGTCGTGAGGGGTCATCCAAGGTAACCATTTATTAAAATAGTCCTCTTTTGTTTCAGATTTCCTGTTGAGATGCTTTAACATCTAGATAATTCCCTGCTGATGTGTCATGTTAGCTTTCTTAACCTGCAGATTCAAACCACAAAATAGTCTACATAGCTACATGACTGGTTACCACCTTTATAAACAATAATTAGCGCTAAGTGGGGAAATTAGGTGTCACATTTTAAATCTAAAAGAAGCAAAAGTATTTGAGAATACTGTCATGAAATGCTTAACACTGATCAACATTCTTTCATTGAATTTGTTTTGTAGGACATTTGGGCTTCCAGGACAGTTTTGTCACATCAGGTGTTTTCAGTGTGACTGAGCTCGTCAGAGTCTCACAGAGTAAGTATCCTTTTGTTGTTGTTTCCTGTGTTCTTTGTAACTCTCATTTTGTTTTATTCCTCCCATTCTAAACCAAATACTCACTAATTATGCCCTCTTTTACCTCCACTCCACAAAGGACTTGTGCTCCACATTTTGAATTAAGTGGGAAAGTTGAAATATTAGAATATTTAAAAACCAAATTAGATCCCGATTCTGCAAAATGGTGGATATTTACAGCAATGTGGCACCCTGCTGACAATATTAAGATTCTCTATAGGTGCAGGGGTCTTCCCATGTGGATCAGTTTTCAGGTTCAAAGCCTGAGGGATGTTTTGTAACTAGGGATGTGTTAGTGTTAAACAGTGCATTGGTTAACCTTCACGGTTATATGCAAGACAGCCCCCCACCCCTGGGGCTGCTGCAGATGGAAGTCAGTGCTTGTGGGTAGCCTGCTTATCCCACACATATTGGCTCCTGTGGAGCTGCCTGTACCCCCCTTCCCAACCTTGCGAGCACCAGCTCCCCATGAGCACTGGTTCTCATCTGATACAGAGGCAGCAATGTGGGGGGCAGCAGACGGCTCTAAGGGAGCTGGTGCTTGTGGGGAGTCATCTTAAAAGCTGGCTCCCCATGTATACCAACTCCCACAGAGCCACCTTTCCCCCTGCATGTAAACGAGTAACAGGTGTGTATGCTGGAATTTCTGTGTAGGAGGGTGTGAGCTGTGGGAGGGGTTGGTGGCTGCTCCTCCCCCCCCAGCCCTGTCCCCACAGCCCGTCACCAGCCTCTCTCCTGGGGAAGGAAGAGAGGAATCAGCTTCCCAGCCAAAGTACAGGAGAGGGAGGCCAGGAACACAGTGACTCTGCCTTTCCCAGACTAGCCAGAATCAAGAACTGGGGGGGTAGGAGGGGGCGCTCATACCTTTCACACCCCACCTGCGTATGGGCCTGTGTAACTGCTGAATATTTCAGCAGTTACACGTTTTGGAAAAAAACCCCAAACTTTTTACCATTCCTAATTTTAACCAGACCATTTAAAATGACTTCCTCTGTGCCCATGAACCAATAATTATGTATACACCTGTCCTGTATATATAAACAGAAGTGTCTGCTGTTTTAACACTCCTGGACTGGTGAACTTGCAGATACTAGGTAGAGTTATACCAGTGTTAGTTAGCCCTAGGAGGCTTACCTACTCAAAGGCATACAGCTTTAATTTTGTCAGGGTGGCATTCTCCCATGGTTGTATGGACTTCTGCCTTTTAAAAGGATTTGTTTTTTGACCTTTAAAGAATGCTAATGCCCACAGCATGAGTGACACACTGCAGCATGATCATTACCAGCTTGTCAATACTCACTAACAACAGTGAATTAAGAGTACCTGTCACCACCCTGTTCCATTGATCAAAGATGTATTGATTGTATTGTGCTATGATATAACGCAGACAGTCCAAGGAGAGACCATGGACAGCCTCACTCAAAGCCACTGTTTCAATTACAGCTAAACCAGCACCTCAATGCGAGGATGCTGTGGATTTTTGTAGCTAGTGAAGAACTATGTTGCAACATTACAGCAGCACCAATTAGTCTTGTAGTTGTTAACAATTGGACTGTGTTTACAATATAAACCTTGCAGCTCATCTGCTTTTAATATGCTCAGATAAAATAGGACATGCAGGTTCTCAGCCTGGAAATTTAAACGCATGTTTATCTGTCCTGCAAGTCCAACTTTTGGACTTCCTGGGGCCCTGCCTGGCAGGAGAGAATTCATGTTTTTGAATCATAGCCAATGGGATTTCTGTTGGGAAGGTCACCCTGTTTTTCTACTTTGTTTCTTCCCTCTCCCACCTCCCCCCTCCTTTCCCTGACACACACACCACACACACACTCTCTAGTGAGAGCACTAAATTGGCTTCCTATTGAAAAACTAGGATCACCATAGAAATCTGGATTGGGAAGGAGATGTGTCAGCATCAGAGAAGTATGCCTGGAAGAGTGAGAGAGAAAAGGGTACCTGACTGGAGCCAAGAATTTCTCAATGCCCTTCTTCCCAGATAACCTGGAGAAAGTCTGTTTCAAGGACATGGGAAATCAGTGGAAATTCTGGGTGCACTCTTATGTTTGAAAACCAGGTCACTTTATATAGGTGCCCACATATGACCTTGGGAGCATAATGGCACAGATTTTTGAAGATCCGGCTTCATTATTGTATGGTTGTGCACTAAATTGATGTTTAACATAATTTTGCTATTCCCAACATAGTTTATCTACTGCATGTGAATAGCTCCACTTTACAATGTCTTAATTTGGTGTAAAAGGGCAGGGCTCTTAAAGTCCTAAGGGAATCCACCCTTCCCGTCTAAGACTTCCCACATTAAGATAATCTTATCCTCAGTGGAGGAGCACTAGTTATCATTAGCTGTCTCTGGTTTCTGTCAACCCTGATTCGGGAGTTTGCAAGACAGAGCTCTAGAAAATAACTATGTTCAGCACTCCCGACTTCCAATCTCCATAGCAGAGAGTTCACTACTGAGTTCAAGAGCTAGCGTATTTCATGCTTATTTATCTTCCATTACGTTTTATCACATTAACAACAAATCTTTTACCAAGGATCCCAGTGTCCAACACATTTTGCAAACATATTATGAATTGTATTTATGAGGCTCACACTTCCTGCTGCTGGAATATACCCAGCAGCCTTTAAAAATTTATTGGAATAATACAAAGATTAGGATAGAAAATAGCGGCTAGCATCCACTGGTGTTAACCGAGGACATTTGGGGAGGGAAAATACAATTATTCAACTGTTATTTATCCCGGACATGAGAAATTGCACTCTTTGCACATGCAAAAAATACTGTGGTCTCTTGGACCCTGTGTAATCAGGGCATTAGTTTTATATCATGTCCAAAAATAACGCATGAAAAAAGAAGCCCAACACTTAATGGGATATCCCTTCAGTACTGGCCGAGAAGGAAGAATACCAGCATCTGGATTAGAAACACTACTGGTTGCAACTTGGATTTTCTTTGGAGATGCCCCATACACACACTGACCAGGCCTGACCCTGTTTCATTTATGAGATCGGACAAGCCTACAGTAGGATATGTCTAGTGTGGATTCTAGCAACAAAATCCCATTGATGTCAGTGGGAATTTGCATGCCAACATTCAGGAAATGATTTAGCATAAAGGATCCATGATTAACTGCTATGAGTTGTGCCTAAACTGACATGTAAGGTTGCCTGATAGATTGAGCTATTCAGAATAAACCTTGCTGGGCTTTTTTAAATATACTTGTGGTTTTACTCCAGCCTAGTCCACAGATTGCTTTGGCACTGAAGAGCTCAACCCCTGCAGAGCACTAATCCAGATTCCCCAGGATTTTTTTATTAGTACTTGGCAGCTTGAACTACCAAAATACACTCGATCCACTCTATATATTTTCTTTCTCTAAAAAGCCACTGCAACTTTAAAAACCACCCTGCGTAAGGGAGCAGCTCACTTGCTCTTCCTCTGTGGCAGGCTCTTCTTCGATTTCCTGAGCAGAAGTCGTATTCCACAGATTCTCACGAGGCTGCAGAGAGATCTAGGAGCAGCTACATGTTTCATTAGTCTATAAAGTGCTATGAGACCATTTGGGTTTTTTTGGAATCCCTGTTATGGCAAATGCTGTTTGGGGGATGAAGGATGCAGAGAAGCAGCACTGTTCACATTTTGCGTATGGCTCTAAATCAAAACTGTGTGTGTTTAAAAAAAAAATCACATTTCAGTACCATTCATTGTCAAACTGTGTGTGAATGTGTGTGAATTTTCAAGGACTCTCTCATTGATTCCCATTGCCATTGCAGTGAGCATGTTACAGGAATTCTCATGCTGATACAGAATGACTAAATTTTCCTTTTTGTTACATATGAAGTCAGTGGGGTTATTCTAGTTTTACACCTACATCAGAGGGAACAGATTTTGGCTTCTGTGTCAACTGTAGCTCTAAATTTCCTTGATTCTTTTATAGCTTTTGGCATTATTGCTTTCATTATTTTTTAAAAAATTTGATAATAGATACACATGCTATCCCTGAGTTTTAAGCAACTGTCTGTTGTTAGCATCTGTCATCTAAAATTAACATGAAACGCATAGTTTTTCCAGTGTTTCCTCATTAGGTATTAATATGGGTAATAATAATGTGCCATATTTATTTATTAAGGTTGCCAAAGATCAGAGTGACAGAGAGAGACTGAAATAAAATGCTATTAAAACAGCCAGACATGTCTGGGCGGAAGTGAAAAAGTTTAAGCAAAAAGTCAGCTTTCTGGGGACAAATATTTGGTTTTAACGTATACTTTAATCTATCCATCATTCACATAGATCCTAGTCATAATGTTTAAGTTTGCCAGAGCCTCCGAACAAGAATGATAGGCTGATCCTCTTAGTAGCAGACACACACCTGCAGCTTTCTTTAGTTCCACAGCAGTGGGCTTTACCCATTTTCTCTAGCCTGCTTCTCAAACTTCCAGATACTGGGAAAATAGATTTAAAAAAAAACTATGAGAGAACGCAGGGATTCTGAGGCATCCGAGGTGAGGTTGGGAAGTATTGATAGGCTTGGAGCTTGGGGGCATGAAAAAAGCGACTACAAATATGTGGCCAATTTTAAGAAACTGAACATTGAATCCCCTATCATTGGAGGTTTTTCCGGAATTAAACCCACCCATGTCAGGGATGATCTAGTTATATTTGGACCTGCCAGGGCACAGTGGGTTGGACTAGATGATCTAGACGATGCTTGGTCCTGCCGTGAGGGCAGGGGACTGGACTCGATGACCTCTTGAGGTCCCTTGCAGTTTTATGATTCTATCACTTCTCGAGGTCCCTTCCAACCCTACATTTCCATGAGTTTCTGTGTGCTAAAATTAGGTTTGAAGTCATTCTCCATGCACAGTCCTGAATAGGCCAGATCAGATTGCCAACGTTCTTACATCAGCATTCCATTGACCTCTGCTGGGACGCCTCCAGAGAG